ACCAGGCTACTTGCCCCCTGTTCTGTGCTCCCTCTGGAACTTGCAAAGGTGAGCTTTTGTGGGGTCCCCACCACCTTTCCTGTGTCCGGGTCCTCCCACCATCGCACCCCCTCTCTTGCCCTGACCCTACAGACGTGCCTTTGCTGTTCCAAGGAGTTCTTCCTTGGACTACTTTTTTTTCTAATTTTTTGGCATCCATTCTGGGCCATGATGGTTGGGGGGTGGAGGGAGGGTGTTATTTGTTTTAAAGCCATGAGTCATTTTAGAGTATTGGTATTCTTGGAGACTGACTCTCTCTTACTAAGGTTTCCAGAGAGAAGCTTTGCAAAGCAATAATAACCCAGGAATCTCCTCTACCAAAGATTAAGGTAGCAAACCTTGCACACAGTGTAAAATTTGATCATAGTATCAACTTACTTTTGTCTTTCCCTTGCAATTTCCATCTTCTGTCTAGCTTGCTCATATTTCTGCCTTTTTCTTGCAAGAGTAGCAACTACAAGTCCCCCAGTTCTATACCTGCTGGAGCAATTGCATTGTTTGCTCCTAGAACCCCAGAACTTGATCGACTGTATTTATGCAGCTCTTTTATTGCCGGTCACCTCCAAGCATGTGGTTGTGTTTAAATAAAATACTTATACTCATTTATAAGTGTGTTAGTTTACACCCATTACGTCATTTGTTCTGACAACAGTGAAGACCACAGAGTGTTAGCCCTGGAGGAAACCTCCAGAGTCCAGACCACTTGGATTTGCATCCCAGGGAGCAGATTTTATGTCTCAAAATATAGATGCTTTTGCGAAGGGCAGCGTATCAATTTTTATTCAGTCACTCTAACCTTCTGTGAATGAGGATAGCGGTTCCTTTCTGGAGGACAGATTTTTCAGAGGTTAGCATGGAGAAGGTAGGACAGTGGAGGAGAGTGCAAAGGGAAATGCAAAGGCACTGAGGACAACAGGTCACCCTCAGGAATGACCCCCAGGCCCTTCCTCTGGCTGGGTGCCTATCAGTCAGCACTCTGCCATGTTACCACTGCAGAAATGAACACTTGAGTTTCTGGCTGGCAGGATCATTGATTTCTCAGCCACAATGGCACACTTCCTTGCCTCTAGGAGAGTAACCCCCTCCCTGGTTACCAGTCCACTGTTCCCATTTTTCCCCTGGAACAGTCATCATTCACTGTTGTTCAGAAGGGCCAGTGAACAGAGTTAACTCTGTTGTTGTAGCCGGCAGGACCCAATGCAGCTTTGAGGCAGGGAGGTCAGAGATGCTCTAGGAGCAGATGAGGCTGCCGCACACAGATGTGCAGGCTGAGTCCCACACAAGGGTGCCCATCCACACATCCTTGAAATGCAGGCCATGCTTTATTTGCCAGGCCATGGGTCCTGTTTTTTTGTGTGCTTGTTTTTTAGTTTGCACAGATTCTTTGTCAACTTGCCAAGCTCCATGTCTATTGAAGTCCATCCACCAGAGAGGGTGCCTTTTGCACATCTGCCAAAATCAACTTTGTATGCTAGGGTGGACCTGCAGGGGCTGGGTCCTTAGGACCCCGGGGACCACGGGCCTTATGGCCATTCTACCATTACTCTCATACAGTGATGCTTTCAGGGATTCAGGGATTCCAGTCCAACCAAAGTGAGACATCCCAGTGGTTTGTCTTTTTTCTTTTTCCTTCTCCTTCCTTCCTTTCTTCCATCCCTTTCTCCCTCTTCCCTCCTTCCTTCCTTCCTTCCTCTTACTTCCTTACTTTTTTAGTTTTCTGACTCTGGGAAACTTAAATATAGCAAAAGGAAGAGAACACAGGGAAAAAAATGACAAGTCTTTGTATTTATAAAATGAACCCAAAGGACTTCTTACCTTTACACCTCGCATCTGACTGCCACATGGTGCTTCTGCCTTTGGTGGCAGCCTGTGGTTCATGTTGCTGAAGTCTGCCCTGGCAGAGGCCCCATACACCCAGAGTCTGAGCCCCTGTTTCTGGTATTCACTTGGTTCTTTGTCCAGGCACTGCCCCCAGATCGCTACAGCCACCTCTTTAATGAAGGCAAAACAAGGACACATTTTTTCCTCCTCTCCTCTTTCTCCCTTGTCTTTGGACTACACTACTGGTCTGCTTGCAGGATGACTCACTTCTTTGTCATCCTCTTACCCCGTTCAGCCTGTCCAGCTGCTCTCATTGCCTCTGTGCAGCGAGATGGAGCTGTTGCCTTGTTGGAGACTGTCACTGGGTCAGCTCAAGGCCCGGCAAGGCCCAAAAAAGTGGAGGAAGATAAGGACAGATAGAACAGAGATGGTCTCAAACTCTCCCAGGAACGGAAGACAAAAGTAGACCCCTTTGCCCCTTATGCCCCTTAGTCGCCAAAAGGGTTTTAACATGATGCAGCTGTGGGAGCCGCCACTCCAGCCCTAAGTCGTGCTGTGCCTCCCTGATCTGGTCCCCCTCTCCCATTTGTCCAGAGAATGCAAATGTGTTAATATTCCATTTCTCACTTCGCAACTTTCTGACATCTAGAATGGTGTTCCATTTAGGAGGAACCAGAGTTTGTGGTTGTTGTTAGGCCCCTGAGTTCTTGAAGTAAAACGTTATCCCTGTATCCCGGTGGGCATCCAACGCCCTGGGCTTAGGCTAATGAGTTTATTCAAAGGGCTGGTTGGTTTGACATGCAACACTAAGAAGGGTTAAGTTCTTTGTTGATTGGTGACTCGTTTACTAATTCATGCATTGTTTCATTCAACGGTTCTTCATAAAGTCCCAAGAGTTTAGAGGTCCCCCTAACCTCAAGGCCTGGCCCAGATAATAAAGTATGGGACAATCTATACACTACAAGAATCAGGACCAACATCAGGAAGAAAGAGGGGGGATGCATGTAAGAAGATGCATTTTAACTTTTTTTTTTTAACGTTTATTTATTTTTGAGACAGGGAGAGACAGCCTGAACGGGGGGAGGGTCAGAGAGAGAGGGAGACACAGAATCTGAAACAGGCTCCAGGCTCTGAGCTGTCAGCACAGAGCCCGAAGCAGGGATCGAACTCACGGAGCGCGAGAACATGCCCTGAGCCGAAGTCGGCCGCTTAACCGACTGAGCCACCCAGGCGCCCCAAGAAGATCCATTTTAAAAGGTTATAAAGAAATGGGATGAAATGAAGAAGGTTAATTTAAGAGGGGTTTTGGGCCATTTTAAGAAAGGGGAAAGGTAAGGAAAGCTGAGAAGGAAAGTCCGGAGCAGATCCTTGCGGTCAGAAGATTATACTGAGTGTTCTTGTTTCTGATGGCCTCAACTCCCTAACTGCTCTCTTCCGAAACTTCGGGAAACCTGTGAACAGTAGAGAGCTTCCTCCTCAGAGTGAGAAAGCCGCCCCCCTCCTCCAAGAGCACACCCTACCCTGCCCTACCCTGCCCTACCCTGCCCTACCCTGCCCGGGAGGGGGGCCTTGCTTGACACACCAGATTAGAACAAAGGCCCAGATCCTGCCTTCTTTTGGCTTCCTTCCCAGTGGGGGAGGGGCTGGGGAAGGGCCGTGCTGGTTGGCAGACGCCCTCTGAGCCTGGGTGTGGGAATCTCGTTGACCAGCCCCCGCTGCCGTCTCACTCCCTCTCCCTCCTCTGCCTGTCCCCGGCAGCCCCAGAAGAAGCAGTGGGGCAGAAAGAGTCCTCCCACCGCCCCACTCGCTCTTTCTTTGTCATCCTTGCTCTGAAGGGGGCCTGTGGCCAGTGAGGGGAAGAGCACTTCCAACAGGGAAGCTTTTTGCAAAGAAACAAAGAAGGAGCCAGAGCCAGCCCAGGATGAAAAGTCCTGGAAGCCCCTGATCTGACAGGGCCCTGAGGACCCTGGGGATGGGGGGGAGGGGTGGGACCAAAAGTTGTTGTGACTGAAAGGAAATGAGTCAAGGGAAGAAATGCCCTGATTTAATTCTTGTGGACAAAGGAGCGAGTGGGTCTGCCAGACCACAAAATAACACCCCGACCAACTAACCTACTTTAAGCTGCTGAGGGCAAGATCGCTGGGGAACAGCACATGGAAACTGGGAATTTTGGGTCCAGGAAGATCTGAGTGTAATAACCAAAAAGCAGATGCTTCTGTTCCTTTCTGCCAACCTACACTTTGCCGGCCCGTCTGTAAAATCAGAGGGAGCGGTGGGGAGGGTGCGAGCTGGTGCAGGGGAGCATTTCCTGTGCTGGACCAGGAGGCGTGCCAGTTAAGAACCCAGGTAATCTGAGGTAGGCTGGCTCTGTAACGTGCCCGCAATAGAATCCCTACGGTGTCCTCCAAGAAAGTCAGAGAGGGGACATTTCTGTGGTTCCATCTCCCAGGGCAGGAATTCACTTCTAGGAAAATCAAGCCAGGGCCTGGGGTACCCAGGCTACCAAGAAGTGCCAGGGATGGCCTACGCTATTCAGCCCACAGACATCCCTGGGCAACATGATCTTCTAGCAACCCATGTCCATTGATGGACTAACGGATAAACAAGATGTGGTCTATACACACAATGGAATTTTCTTCAGCTTTAAAAAGGGAGGAGAATCTGACACATGGCCACCACATGGATGAACCTTGAGAACATTATGCTAATGAAATAAGCCAGTCACAAACGAATGTGTGTCGTAGGATTCTACTTATGTGAGGAAACTTGAGAGTCATCATATTCCTAAAGACAGAGAGTACAATGGTGGTTGCCGGGGGAGTGGGGAGTTAGTGGGTCGTGGGTGCAGAGATTCAGTTTGGGAAGATGCTAAAGTTCTGCAGATGGGTGGTGGGGATGAATGTGCTTAATGCCACTGAACTATACACATATATCAATGGTTAAGATGGTAAATATGCACAATTAAAGGAATCTTCCAGATATTTGTGGCATTTCTCTCTGTGGGAGCGGATGCTGGAGGGGGAGACGCCATGATAAAGTCATGGGTTCTTGAGTTTTGTCATATTCCTTCATCTTTCAATCACACGATTGAGCTTTTTTCCCTTCTTCTTCCAGAATTTAAGGGACGCTCCAAAGGAACGATGAATAACCTGAGGAAAGAGCTGGTGTTCACCCTGCTGTTTTGTGGGGCAGCCCTCACCTTGCCCAGCCAGGTGGGTGTGCAGGTCAGGTCTGTGCCCTCCTCCACGGGCCTATGGACCCTCAAGGCCCTCGGGAGCCCAGGGTGGGCTAACGTCAGAGTAGAGAGGCAGAGGCCAGCATTCGCAGAGTATAGTGCACATACTCCTCTCTGTGCGGGATGCTTGGGATTCAGGGTTCCGGGGGGCAGAACTCTAGGCAGTTCTGCTGACCTCAGTAAACAGTTCTTAATTCTACCCCCCTGCCTCTGACTGCCTTCTTTGGAGCTGTTTTTAAAAAAAATTTTTTTTTTCAACGTTTATTTATTTTTTTTGGGACAGAGAGAGACAAGAGATGAAGCAAGTGGGAGGGAGCAGAGAGAGAGGGAGACACGAATCAGAACAGGCTCAGGCTCGGCCATCAGCCAGAGCCTGAGCAGCGGGGCACCGAACTAACGGACAGCGAGTATCGGACTGGCTGAAGTCGACGCTTAACACCGGCTTTTGCCACCCAGCGCTCTGAGCGTTCCATTTTAATGTGCTTGAATTAATCCATAAAGTATTTGGGAAGATAGGTGCCCACGCAAGTGAGCGAGGTGGAAGCTGGGAACACCAGTTCGGCCATCTAGGGATGGGAGCTGTCCTGAAGACATACTGTCTAAAAATGCCCAGCAAACAAGAGCACCATCATGGAAGGCCCAGCGAGATTTTAGAGGAGAGAGAGTTGGGGATGGCAAGCGAGGAGGGAATCGGTGTGTGTGTGTGTATGTGTGTGTGTGTGACTACATTCTTCCCCTGTGCTATTTAAATTCAGAATTAAATAAAATTTAAAAATCCGGTTCAGGCTGGTATTAGACAGACAGGTATTAAAGATTTCATCATTCAGAAAATTTATTCTGGTGACACTGGTCTAGAAGGGAGGAAAAATTAGAAAAGAAGGCAAGAAGTGGACACTGCACCTGGCGCCAGTTACCTGAGGGGGGGCTCCTGGGGCAGGTGGCATCTGATTGGCAGGTGCACCGGTGGTCTCTGGATCAACCACCATTGTTCTTAAGATACCCAATATGCTGCCCTCCTCCACCCTGGTGGCTTGCAGAAATCACTTGCATTCAGAAGAGGAGCCAGATCTTACAGAGGTAAGATGACGCGGAGATCAGTGGACAAGAGCAGGCGAGCAGAGTCAGGGCTTAGGGCTCAGCGCCTGTCGCATATCTGCCACCACACCCAGCTTACCTGAGCTGTGTGAAGGTGAGATTTCGCAGGGTGATTCTGCAAAGGTGCCTGTGTTCCCCACCCCCCCCCTCCCGCCCATCACTCAGCCATCCACCCAGTTAGCCGAGGCTGGGTTTGAGAGGCCAGAGCAGGTGGCCCTCAGGGAGTCACAGAGCTGGTGGGAACCTGCCAGCTCAGTGGCCTGAAACCCTGTGACACAGGTGAGAAAACCGAGCTGGAGATGGAGCGGTGACCTGCCTAAGGTCACCCCGTGGCCAGCTGCAGCTGTGCTGGTCCTCCAGGGTCTTTTTCCTGGGCTGCAATCCCCTTCCCACCTGAGTCCATGTGGCATCTTTGTCAACTGCCATCTCTGTGCTTCCATTTCTTCTGTCTGGTAAAAATGGGGTAACTAAGCTGGGTGGTCTCACAGGAGTTCCACAGCTGTGGAAAGACTCTCTATAAGACCGAGTCTAGAGTCGACTCTAGAAACCTGAGGAACATCCCCATGAGCATTAGGTAGGATTCCAAAAATAAAATATGCCAGCAGCCGGATTGTCTTGACTCTTGTTGGAAGAACTCTGGGCCCAGCTTCAAGTCTGAAGCCACCAACCTGGGGCCTTCATCTCTGTCCTTCATGACCTACTTCCTTCTGGTCTGGGAGGCTTTGCAACACCTCTTTTGAAGTGGAAGTTTCCTCAGAGTGAGTCATGGCAGTTACTCTTAATGCCTTTGCTGTTGGATAAGCATTTCTGACAAGGGTGTCCTGGCCCCAGGGGACCCTCCAAAGAAACAACAGAAAAATTATGTACAATGAGTGCTTGTCACGTCTTTAATTAATGAAAAGTTAAAGATTTGTGAAGTTGGCTTTCTGGTTTGCGAACAGAGACAAAGGGTGAGAATATCAATGCGAGCACTTAGACTGTTTTCATTTATACAAAAAATACTGGCAGGAGTAGCACATTTCCCACACAGACTAAAATGTGGATTTTCTTTCTCTTGGGCTAGCAATGCATCATTTCAGTGCAGTCATACTCATGTGGATCAAAAACTCTGCAGGCAATTTATACGTATACATGTGCATATTTTAGATGAATTAATATGAAAAATTAAAGTCTTACTTTGTAAATGTATTTTGATCGATAAATTCTTCCAAGATGAAGGCCCATCAGAAGAAAAGTAATTAAAGTGGTCTTTGGTGACAAATTCTTGGGTATCTGCTATCTTCTGGCCGAGGGCAAAAAAGGCATGAAGGATGGGTTGTATTAAAAGTGAGTGAGGTTCATATGTGGAATTTAAGAAACAAAAGAGATGAACACAGGGGAAGGGAAGGAAAAATAAGATAAAAAGAGAGAGGGAGGCAAACCAGAAGAGGCTCTTAAAAGACAGAGGACAAACTGAGGGCTGCTGGAGGGGAGGGGAGTGGGGGATGGGCTAAATGGGTGATGGGGATTAAGGAGGGCACCTGTTGGGTTGATCACTGAGTGTGTTATGTAAGAGATGAATCACCGGGTTCTACTCCTGAAACCCATACTACACTGCACGTTAACCAGCTTGAATTTAAATTAAAAAAACAAAAAACAAAAAACAAAACAAAACTGAGGGATTTTCTCAGTGGAACCAGGGACGGGATGTCAGTGTTTGGTGAGTTGTGCCCTCAAGAGGCCAGCCTGTCTTTCGTTACAGTGACCTGCAGGGATGAAAAAACACAGATGCTGTACCTGCAGAATGAGTCGTGGCTGCGCCCCGTACTCAGAAGCAACCGGCTGGAATACTGCTGGTGCAACAGCGGTCGCTCGCTGTGCCACTCGGTGCCCGTCAGAAGTACGTATGGGGGCCCCTGGGTGGCTCAGTCAGCTAGCCTCTGACTCTCGATCCTGACTCCGTCATGATCTTGCGGTTTCTGGGTTCGAGGGCTGACAGTGCAGAGCCTGCTTGGGATTCTCACTCTCCCTCTCTCCTCTGCTGCTCTTCCACTCCCACACACACACTCTCTCCCTCTCTCAAAATAAATAAATAAACTTTAAAAGTATATTTTTTAAAAATGTACATATGGACTGCCAGTGGAAGCTTTGAGCTTTGGGTCCAATTTCCTGGGCCCAAATCCTGTATTTCACGTCCCTGGCATGTCCAGATCTCCTCTTGCCTTGGGCAAATGTGAACGTGCTGAGCAAACAAGCAAGCCTGGGGCCTGGGGCTCTGCCTTCACTCACCCGGCCTCAGCTTCCTTGTCTGTCAAATGGGGAGAAAGTAGTACCTACTTCATGGGGCGCAGTGAGTATTAAATGAGTTATTTTTGTAAACTGCCTAGAACAGTGTCTGGCAGGTAGAGCGCATTCTTAAAATTTTAACTCCTTTATCCTTGGAACTGCTTTGAAGTAATTCCTTGTTTGTACTTGGCAGGTTGCAGCGAACCGAGGTGCTTCAATGGGGGGACGTGCCGGCAGGCTCTATATTTCTCAGATTTTGTCTGCGAGTGTCCTGAAGGGTTTTCAGGGAAACGCTGTGAAATAGGTGAGTGGTGGGTAGGTGGTGCGAGAGAGGGACAGAATCCCAAATCTTCCCAGGAAGGGGAGGAAGAGTGTGGTGATGGGGGCAGGGTGGGGACAGGGAAGGTCATCCAAGGGTCGGTTAGGCAATCAAAGCGCTGGGCCCAGTGGGTGCCGTCTTGGGTGCCGGGCTGGAGTCTGGCTCTGCCGCCAGTCAGCTGGGTGAACTGGCCGCCCCGTTTACCTCCTTTGCTCCGGCAGCTTCCGCAGCCAGCCAGCCACACTGGCTTGGGGGTGATGCCAGAGCAGGTGTGAAACCCCTTTGGAAATCTAAAGGAAAGAGGGGGACTCACATGTGAGATGTCATCTGTCCTGTTTCGATCAGATGCCAGTGCCACATGCTACAAGGACCAGGGTATCACCTACAGGGGCACGTGGAGCACAGCAGAAAGCGGGGCCGAGTGTATCAACTGGAACAGCAGCGTACTGGCCCTGAAGCCCTACAATGGACGCAGGCCAAACGCCATCATGCTGGGCCTTGGGAACCACAATTACTGCAGGTGAGAGGGCTGTCCTCCCTACCGGGTGGGCTTTCCTCCAGTGAGGAGCTACTAGAGTCGGGGAAAAGGCCTAGTTCAGATCAGCCATGGTTCCCCAGAGACAGAGAACCAATACATTAGATACACATACAGGAATTTATTATAAGGAATTGGCTCACCCAATTGTGGGGGGTGGCAAGTCTCACATCTGTAGGCAGGCCAGCGAGCTGGGCACTCAGACAGGCTTTGACAGCACAGTCTTGAGGCAGAATTTCTTCTCAGCTTTTGCTCATAAGGCCTCCCGCAGATTGGATGAGGCTGCCCACAGATGGAGGATGATCTCTACTCAGAGTCGACTGATTGCGGCTGTTAACCGTAGCGATCTCTTCACCACAGCACCTAGGTTCATGTTTGATTAATAACTGGGCGTTCTAGCCAAGGTAATACATAAAACTAACCGTCACAGGCCACCCCTTGTCAACATGGCTCCTGGGCCTCCTTCAACCATACTTACTCTCCACATGAAGACAATGACCAGGTCATACTTCCACCTAACACGATACAACTGTCCTGTGTACGACCAGAAATGCACTAACCTTTTCTCCAGAAGAGGATGCAAAGGCCTTGGGTCTGAGAGGGAGACTTCCCTTTTCACCTCCTCTGGCCTTCCCTGGCTGCTTTTTCAGGAACCCAGACAGAGACTCAAGGCCCTGGTGCTACGTCTTCAAGGCAGGGCAGTACAGCACTGAGTTCTGCAGCACGCCGGCCTGCCCCAAGGGTAAGCGCAGCCTCCCCGCCTTCCCTGGTGGTGTCTGGGGAAGAAGAGTCTCGAAAGACAGATCTGATAGTGTTTCTACAACTGAGGAGACGAAGGAGTGGGCTAGTGGTTGACCATTTTGTTCACCGAGGGAAGAAAGTCAGGAGACTCAGGTCTTCACCCAGGCCTGGCTTCTAACTAGCTGTTTGACCTTGAGCTGGTCTCTTTACCCGCCCCCCCCTCCGACCCTCAGGTTCCTCGTTTACAGAGGAGAAGGTGGGCTGTATGGGTGGTTTCCAGTCCTCTTGAGGATGAACGGAGATTCTCCCTTTTGTGATTGATGGGCCTAATTCTCAATCTCTGTCTCTCTCTTTAAAAATGTTTAATAAGAGAAAATTTCCCAAATTTAAAAACCCTAAGGTACAAAAAAGCACCCTGAGTTCTGTGGTCCTTCCACAAACAATGATGTCACATTAGTATGAAAAATAAGTTTTAAAGTTCTAACCACTCATATACGATAATAATGTGTATTCTGTCTACAGGTAGGTCTGACATACCTGTCTGTGAATTTGAGGGCTCTTTACACTAATTCTTTTTTTTTTTAATTTTTTAAAATCTTTATTTATTTTTGAGACAGAGAGATACAGTGTGTGAGCAGGGAAGGAGCAGAGAGAGACACACACACACACACACACAGAATCTGAACCAGGCTCCAGGCCCTGAGCTGTCAGCACAGAGCCTGACATGGGGCTCGAACTCATGAACTGTGAGATCATGACCTGAGCCGAAGTCGGACACTCAACTGACTGAGCCACCCAGGCACCTCCTCTTTACACTAATTCTAAAGCATCCTCCCCACTCCCAGGATTGGTAAAATTGGGACTCATTGGCCTAGGTGGCCCTTTAATTATACTGTTTATAGTGGTACACTTTGCCAGTTTCAAATTGGGAGAAAGGAGGGTAAAATGGGGGCAAATAGGTGACAATAGGCAGCATTCCTGGGTCCATGTCCTCTCTCCTGCTCGAGCCCAACAAATCCTTCAGATCACTGGCAGACAAAATCTGGGAACTTAGGGGCTGCGGACATGTCCGTCCATTGAAGATCCTTGGTTCGCCACAACCTGTCAAGTACAAACCAGGAAACCCCCTGTTACTTTCAAAGCAGCTCTGGCAATAATCACCTATAATTGAACACAGCATCCCTTTCTGCTGAATGCGAATCAACCCTCAGCATCACTCGACACAGCAATCTAGGAAGCCACATCCAATCATGCAAGTTGGCCCAGCAGACAGAAGCCACTTCGCATCCCTCTGTAAAAGGGCTGGAAGAATGAGGAAAGAGGGGAGGTGGGACGCTATCACATCCTTCTTATGGCGAGCCTGGCTGCCTACAGCCTCTCGGGCCAGCGGCTCCGGCTGCAAACCCTGATGTGCCTGCTGCAGCATTTAATTGGCTATGTGTCAATATGAGACTTTCTTTTGTTCCAGAAAAAAACGGAGACTGCTACTTTGGAAAAGGGTTAGCATACCGTGGCACCTACAGCCTCACCACATCTGGTGCCTCCTGCCTCCAGTGGAGTTCCAGGGCCCTGATAGGCAAGGTCTACACAGCGTGGAAGAACAACGCCCAGGCACTGGGCCTGGGCAAACACAACTACTGCCGGTACGTATCATAGGGGCCATGGGTTCCTATCTGGGCAGGGGGCAGGAGTGGGCGGTGGGATGAGAGATTTCATGCCTAAAGTTGTATGAAAGACTCAGTGGGTGGGAAGGAACCATGGACATTATCTGGCCGCACGTATTCATTTGCTGGAATAACACCTGTTATGAAGAGTGAAGTTCACCAGTGTTTCAGCCCACGTCCCAGACTAGAGGTGCCATCCCACAGCCACTCTGTCCTCATTGTTCTGTTCCTCTGTGGCACCTTTCTCCCAGTGAGTCATAAGAGTGTTCTCATAGCATTGCTCACGGTAACTTCCAACACACCTGCGAGATGACGATGTTATATTGCTGATAGAAAAACAAAGTTAAGATTGTTTTCCTACCGTGAGATCTCTGATGGAGCCAAGTTCAGAACTCAGGACACTCCTGCCCAGCTCAGTGTTTTTGCCATCGGTTTACTGAGCCTCCTTCCTCGCTCACGTGGCCTGCGATGGGATTGAAAATGTGATTGAGAACCTTGACCTCTCTCACCATCTAGGAACCCAGATGGAGATGCCAAGCCCTGGTGCCACGTGTTGAAGGACCACAAGTTGACGTGGGAATACTGTGATGTGCCCCAGTGCTGTAAGGGCTGGCCCTTGGCCACCTCCCTCTGCCCAGTCTCACTTCCTGGCCATTTCCTCTACCATTCCCTGTGTCTTCACAGCTGTCTGCTTCAGACCCAGATTTTTAGGAGGGCCTTGGTGGGGAGGGGCCTCCCATGACTGGAGCCACGGTAGGATGACAACACTCTGGGCAGGTGCTCACTTCCCACGCACGACCAGGATGGGAGGGGCAGAAAGAAAGAGAAGAACTTGCCAGTTGCTCTTAGCATTTATTAGGCTCTAAACTTCTCTCTCCAGTTGCCTTTATTAATGATTGACCATGAGGTCATAGTGAGCATAGAGGAGGATAGCTCTCATATGTGGCTCCCTAGATAGCAAAGTGCTCTCACTGTGTGCTCCCGACAACGTGGTGACAGGCAGTCCTCCTACATCCAGCTTACTGATGAGGAAAGCAGCTCAGAAGTCATGTGGCCTGCCCAAGCTCACTGGGCTCTGAGCCACACAGCTGGGGTCTGACGCCGCATCCTCGGACCCCACAGCTCGTACTTCTGCTGTGAGCTTTTCCACCTTTCCCACAGAGCCCATTTAACACAGGGGGACTCTGGAGGGGGTTAACACTGGGTTAGTGGAGGGGGTGGAAGACAGAGAAAATTTAAGGCGGCGCATTTTGCTAAAAAAAGACACTGAGAATAGATTATTATAAACTTTTTTAAAGTTTATTTATTTATTTTGAAAGAGAGAAAGAGTATAAGTGTGAGAGGAATGGGGACAGAGAGAGAGAGAGAGTTTGGAAGAGCATCTAAGCAGACTCCATGCTGTTAGCGAAGAGCCCAATGTGGGGCTCCGAACTCACAAACCGTGATACCATGATCTGAGATGAAGTTGGACACTTAACCAACTAAGCCACCCAGATGCCCCTCTGTGAATAGATTATTATTAGTTCCTGTGAATGCACGTACCTGCCAGAATGTTTCTCAAGGAACATATTATTTAACTGGGCAAGTAAGACACAAACCACCAATGAACTCACAGCCAAAGTCCTACATGGTAGGTCCTCAGTGGGCAGGATCAGCAAGCTCATTCAGAGCCTGGTGGGCTGAGAGTGTTAAGAAAACCTCAAGAGGAGTTGGGATTTCACCTAAGCCTGAAAAGTGGGCAAAGTTAGTAGATGGAAAAGAAATGGGGAACCATTGCCCATTGGAGGAAGTTGCACTGCTGCGTTATTTCTGCAGCCAGGAAGCAGGTGCAGGAAAAAGCCAGGAGTAATGAAGCACGGCAGAAAGACCCCCAGTTTGGAGTCAGGCAGGTCTGGGTTCTAATCCAGGTGCCCCTGTGACTTTGGGCGAAAATTACCCAGGCTCTCTGAAGTTCCATGTCATGAGGGTTAAAGGAAGTGTACCTACGATGGTTGGCATGTACCATGTACTCGACAAATGAAAGCTGTGGTTTTTATTACCATGCAGACTGTCCTCTCACTCTGTGCTAACCTGGAGAAGTGCAGTAAGCCTGTAGAAACTTGGGGTTCCAAAAGAAGAAACCAGGAAAGGTGCTCAAGGAACCCCCCACCAGGGACCGCAGGTCTGACGTCCCTTCTCTTTCCTTTCCTCTCCCAGCCACCTGTGGGCTGAGACAGTACAAGCAGCCTCAGTTCCGCATTAAAGGAGGACTCTACGCAGACATCACCTCTCATCCGTGGCAGGCTGCCATCTTTGTCAAGAACAGGAGGTCACCAGGGGACAGGTTTTTGTGTGGCGGAATACTGATCAGTTCCTGCTGGGTCCTGTCTGCTGCGCACTGCTTGCAGGAGAGGTAGGCACTTCAGAAAAACCCAGTAGGTCTCCCTAGACTCTAAGGCCTTGAACCCAGGCCTGTTAGAAGAAGCCTCACAGTGAGCAGAGCATAAGGCTGTCTCTCCGTTAGGTATCCTCCCCACCACCTTAAGGTGGTCCTGGGCAGAACGTACCGAGTGGTCCCTGGAGAGGAGGAGCAGAAATTTGAAGTAGACAAATACATCATCCATAAGGAATTTGATGACGACACTTACGACAACGATATTGGTAAGATGTCACATTCTCCCCGCTACGGACGGCACCATACACAGCCACACATGTGCACTCACACCTCTTCCTCCCCCACCCTTGCCTCCTCCTTCGTCTTCCTCCCCTCAAGTCAGAAGCAGCCCTTCCCACGCGGCTTATTGCCTTCTTGCTCTTCTCCCAGCACTGCTGAAACTGCAGTCAGACTCGCTACAGTGTGCCCAGGAGAGCGACACTGTCCGCACCGTCTGTCTCCCTGAAGCTGATCTGCGCCTGCCTGACTGGACAGAATGCGAGCTGTCTGGCTACGGCAAGCACGAGGCGTGTAAGTGGAAGGAAGTCTCGGCCCCATCCTGTCTGTCTGCAGGACAGCAGGGCATGCACTTTCTGGCGGAAGAAAAAGCAGTGACGAGAACGTTCTAGCCCAGGTTCAGGCACTGATGTAAATGTAGGCAAGTTCCCTGCGGACCGAGAACCCCTCACCTGCCTTCCCTACTTCGCAGGGTCACTGTGCAGGCCACGAAGGGTCTGAGTAATACAAGTGCTTTGAAGAGCTTCAGACTTCAGGAAGGTTCTGATAAGAAGTGGAGTACAGTGATTAGGGGGTGTGGTTCTTGGACTCTCTGGTTGCGTAGTCCGGAGATCAAATCTGAGATCTGCACCTTGTAGCAGTGTGGCCCAGGACGGGGATTTTTGTTTTACACCGTCCCAATCCCCTGTGTTCTCACCGGTAACATGGGGGTAGACTTAGCTGCCTCCTTAGATGGTGAGAATGAAATGACAGTAGGTGAAGGCAGTAGTTTTCAACTGGGGTGATTTTG